AGAGATTTCCACAATGTAATTCGCTGCATCTTCACTGCTGCTCTCCTCCTCCACAGTATCAGCTACAGACGTCAGCCGGGGACTGACTGGAGGTGAAGGTGCCAGGTAGTTTGGTCCCTGTAGATGACCTTTGCCCTGAAGAAAAGGAAACAAAAACAAACAATTAAGTCTAACATGATGAAAAAAAGTTGTTTCATCAGGTATCAACTAAAAGATGTTGTCACACATACTGTTAATTTAACTTTATAAACAGAAGAGCTCAGAGTCAGACTGAAACAATAGCACAAAATCTTTACCTTCTTAGCTGCATTTTGCTGCTTAGGAGCAAAAGTGACAAAAAAGGAAATCATGGATATTAGACAGATTTTTACATTAAGTAATTTACATATAAAGGCATTTTTGTTTACGTTTGATGAAAGAACTAAATAAAGTATAGCAAGGGGTTTATAACAACAATATAATTACAAAGATTATAGTAACTGTTTTCCCCATTTTGGTAAATTTATGAGTTTCTAAAACCAAAGCCAGTGGTTAACTAGCTTGGAAAAATGCTGTAGAGTTAAAAACATAAAACATGTCAAGTGTTTTAAAATAAAAGGTTAGGAAAAAGGGGTAGGAAATAATACAAGAAGCCTTGTAATTCCACAAACATGAGACAGTGATGTCACATGATCACTGGTCTAGAGTCTCTTCACAATCCATTTGACAATTATGTCAGTCAGATTGTCACTCATAGACTTATTTACTGTCTTTACACATGTCATTCCATGTGGTTACAGAAACAGAGCGATCACCCACACACTCATGTCAAAGGTCTCTTACCATTGACCGTTGAATCACACTTAGTCTGCATTTGGCCTTGGTTTCAGCAAACTCCAGGGTATTGATGTCCTTTATTCTCACTTTGTACTTGTTCATCTGCTCACAGATGATAACTTCCACACAACTGCAGGGAAACACATGACACATGACAGGTCAGTGGAGTGTAAACTTGTATTATTTCTTTATTTCTTTGTGTACTTTCCCTTAGATATGCCAGTATTCTGGTAGATACACACTGTTCAGTTCAGATTATGTTACTATAAGATTAGTTTTTCCAAGTGCTTTTATACCTATAACACGATATGAGTCTACATTCTCATTTAAAAAGAAATGTCAGCTCTCTAGGGAATCAACAAATTTGTTCTTAGTGAAATTATTTTTGTTCCTGTGTGTAAAGAAGAAAATACTGACAACATGTTTATGATCTACATTACAAATTAATTCCTATGTAAAATATTTTTTTCCTCGCTGTGTAGTATGTTTGACAATAATGCTTTAAGAAATATTTCAGAAATATATATTAGACAATTGCATGCCTGCATGATTTCAAAGGTAAAAACAGATATTTCCAGCTATGTTTATTATTTACTCATGGCTCAAATTAGCTTCATTCCTGGCCACCAGTCTCCCAGTAACTGAAACAATTTCATTCCTTTTCCTTTTTTTTTTTACACAAATATAAATTTCATTCTTACGCTGTGGTCTTGCTGATGTCTTGAACACTCTGCAGTGGATCAATGGTGTCGGGACAGCGCAGGATACATGGAGCAAAAACTATGGCCAAGGCATTGGCTGACATACGGTTTGTTTCCTCTTCTCGGGCAATTCTATAAAACACCAAGCCAGCCTTAAATTCAGCCAATGAAAAGGGTTTATACGTATATGTTAAAAAAAAAAAAATTCTATTACCTGACAAGATGAAAAATGAGGCGTTCCAGAGTGTTGAGGTGAGTCCTGCTGAGTTGGTCGATAACTGAATACACTCCTCTGATCATTTCTTTTTTATCTTTCAAACCTAAAGAAACATTGAGACAAGACGGGTCACAGTTTGTTCAGATTTTTCCCGTCATTTGTGAGTGTTTGTGAACAGAATTTAGAGTGTTACACATTTACACAACACAAAATAACCTGCTATGAATGTGACTCACCCATGGCACGAATGAACTCTTCATACAGCTCAAATGTCAAGAGAGGATTAGGCAGCTCTCTGAGCCACTGCTTGAACACACTAGCAATGACATGGATGTTGTAGTCGTCCAGATTCATGTTTTCCACATCTAAGAATGCAGAGAAACCAGATCATGTGTACTGTGAATTATCTCATCAGCTTTAAAAGACAGTCGCCACCATTCACCAGTAATACGTGCTGTTTACCCGTGTTGGAATGAAGTGCAAATGCATTTTGACTAAATGTCTCTAATAAATTTAATATTGTCCTTGAAACTCACATTAGTGCAGTAATGGACCTATTTATAAAATAGACACAAAACTTCTCAGTCAAATGTTTAGCATAAAACACACATTTCCACATGTGTCTAACCAGGAACTACCAACAAGTTAAAATAGATTTGGTGAAAGATAGTGTGCAAAATTAATAGTTTCTGCCAAGAGGACCGAGAAGAAAGGCGTTTTGTTGCATCAAATAAGCCCATGTTGTCTTTTTAGCTCGAAAAAAGTGTCATGTATCTTATGTGCACTTAAATAATAATAATTAAAGGGATTTATCTGTCAAAAAGGTATTTAAAAGGTTTATCTTTCCTGGTTAAATTAAAATGATATGCTCTCCAAATGACATTTTTTCAGGAGCAAAACAATTCCTGAACAATCAGGAAAAATCCATGACCTGTTATTTGGAACAAAAAAGTTACCTGTGTCCAGTCCCTGCTTTAGTTCCTTAATTTTGTTAGTGGAACCAGACTTTCTGTATATTCCCTCAGTGTAGAGGCCGTGCATCTCAATGTAGTTGATGAGTTTCTCCACCACCAGGGGCACTGTTTTCTCATCGTTAGTCAGACGAGAAACTTCCACTCCAAACTGTCTGGAGGAGAGTTCTGGATCAAACTGTTACAAGGATAAAATAGTCATAATGTTAAAAAGAAAACGTACAAATAGCATTGATAAAATACAGGAAAAAAAACTAGAACTAAGAACAGACACCCTGTGACCAGACATCAGAGTGTGATGAACACACAGACACACACTCCGGTTGACTGACCTTCTTGCTGCACTTAGTGGTCGTCTTCTGGCAGCACTTCCTGTGGCAGGCGTACCGGCACACTGGATTAACACAGGCAGAGAAACCAAAGTTGTCATTCCCATGATCCACAGAGAAACAGTGTCTCTTCATTATTCAGCAACAGTAGGGGATTTAAGAAAGACTGAAATGATCCAGTCACAGCATTGGCTGCCATAAAGAAGAGACTCTGTGAAAAAGGACGACTCTCCGGAGACACGGAGTCGCATGAGTCCAGTTGAAATGTGAAATCTGATTAAGACTAAAGAGGGAAGGGGGAGGGGCTCCGTGTGTGTGTATGTGAGAGAGAGAGCGATGTGATTTCATTTTGTATGAGGACAAATTAAGTGAGCATCATTACATTTATTCCTTAATTAAATTAGGAATTTATATTTATTCTTAATTAAAAAAACAGTATCTGGTTACTGACAAAATTACTAATAAAAATTCACACATGGCAGAAAGTCAGTATGTCTATGACTATATAAATACTTGCGTGACTCACGTTTGCAGACGCAGGCTCGGTCCATCATCCAGATGAGTGATGAGCAATATTCACAGTACGTGAGAATGCTGTACTGTGTGGACTTGAAGATGTGCCCATTATGCTCCTCCACCTGCAGGGGGCAGCATAATACAGGATATTTAGAGATGACATTCCACTTCTGTGTGTATTTAAATCTTTCATCAAACTATGTTTAATTTGTCTTTGAAAAATCTCAAGGTCACATGAATCGCTTATATATTTTAGAAAATATAAAATACACTCACAACGTCGATGTCTTTTTTCCTCCGCTTTTTGCGTTCAGGTTTGGCCACCTGCTGTAGCAACAGGAGATACAATACATTTAACATAAATAAACCAATCAAGACCAAACTAATCATATCAAGTTCATTCGTTTCCACAGTTAGATAATGCCACAGTGTAGCAGGTGTGTATAAGAGGTCCGTACCTTGCTGAGGGCGCTGTCCAGATGTTTGTACTCAGTCATGAACTCATCCAGGAAAACTTTAAAGGTGTTGACCCAAACTTTGACCGGAGACTCATTCCAGTCCCTCTGCTCATGTTTCATCGTCTTCTCCAGGATGTGCTCAAACAGAGCGTAGAGGTCTTTGTAGCGGATGCTCTTCCCATCATCCATCTGGGGAGTGCGATGATTGAGTCACAATGAAAAGCAAACTAAATGAATTCCTATTTAATCAGAGTGAAAACACCTACAGTCAGTGCTGTGGAAAAGGAGTTGAAGATGTTCAGACGAAACTCTTTCAGAGCCTTTTTGAAGACGATGTCCACCATGGTGTCGTTCTTGCTGTCTTCGGTGTCCAGGTCGTTGATCTACAACATGACACCATGGACACGTTGGTGAGAATTGATTATTGACGTGGATTTGAAGCAAAACAAAAAACGCCCACCTTCCCATTTTTACCTTCTTCATGAGGAAGTCGTTCATGCTCCTGTAATCGTTGGTGCAGGTGAGGATCTGCAGTGAGTCGCTCTGCCACTGGGTGGGTTCAAGAGCAACGCTGCTGATCTTCACACTGCGTCTTCGCTTGACCTTAGGAGAAGGATCCTTGTTCTCCTTGAATTCTCTGAATCCTCGATCCAGTGTCGAGTCAGGACTACAGGGCGGCGACATGTTGTCCTGACCTGATGTGTGGAGTAGAGTAGAGTTAGTGATAGAAGACGAGGAATAAAACTCAACACACGAGTCCCTGGATGAGGCACCTTCTCCCAGCAATTGTCCAGTGTCTCCATTCTCTCCGTCCAGTGAGTCTCCACCACAGACCAGCTTTTCTCTGGAGGACTTCTTTTCTCCATATTTGGTTTTTCCCCAGAAACGCATTTTCCCGCGCACCCTGCTAAAACACACACACAAAAAACAAGCTGTTAAACTAACTATGCCGTCAATCTGTGCTGTGCAATGAGGCCACAGTGAAAAGGACCAGAGAGGATAAGAAGAAAAAAAAGATTAAAGACTCAAAACTCAAACCTTCCATCCTGTGAATTCTTGCGCAGTGAGTCCACTTTGGCCAAGTCTCCTGAGGACATGGCTTTGTGCATCGTCTTCTCCTCGTCGAAGGTGGCAGGCTGAAAATAAAGAACAATTTTAATTTTAAATTACACAGTTTGACGTAAGGATCCTGCTCAAATCAGTAGAGGGCAGCACCACACCAATGAAGCTGCATTACCTACAGGTGAAAGTACACTTTCACCTTAACTGTACATTTTGTAGATAAAATAAAGCATTAGGTTGCAGGGTTGGGAACAAGAGGAACTCATTTCCAGCAGGGAAAAAAAGACAGAAAAAGTTGAAAATGGTCAGGAAAGAAAAGAAAAATTTAAAAATTTAAATTCGCAGAGCGAAGTTTCATGCCGACAATTATTTTTATATCTTTGAGCTGTGAGAGAAAGAGGAACATGTTAGAACAGCAACTACTGTGTTAGAGTGTTGACATTTCAGGGCAAAAAACGTTTACAGAATCTCAAATATTTAATGCTTAGAATGATTTCTACAGTTTGTCGAAATAGACATTAAACCATTAATGGTATTAAAACCCAGTTGCCAATATTCATTATAATTTCCTTATAATCATTATATTTTAAATAATTTTAACTTACGTTCAGTTTCTGTGGTAGTAAATAGTGTTTAAATGACCTCAGGTTTTAAAAGTGTCTTTATAGACAGGATTTAAACGTGTACTGCCCTCTCATGTCAAATCAAAGCCTTATTTGAAGCTTCGTCACATTTGTGCAGCATGTCTACGGTTCAAGCACTCGCTGCTGAAGAAGTTCAGAAAAAGTCAAAGAGGAAAAAAGATGAGAGCTGAAGAAACCAGACAGGGCCAAGGTTTTAACGACGCCTGTTACCATGTCTGAGTCACTGAAACAGGACTCTCGTAAGCCTGTCTCTGTGGAGCTCTGTTTGGAGAGGGGCAGAGTGTAATGACGGGGGCTGTGCAGGCTGCCGTCATCATCAAAGTCATCTTCGTCTGTATCGCCCCCATGTGACAGGACAGGAGCTCGTGTCAGGAAGTCCGAGCGGGTCCGAGCCATTCGGGCTTTCTTTTTTTGGCCTGCTCTGCCAACCTGGGGTTTACCAGAGTGACAGTGTGATTTAAAAACCCTCTGCTTCCAACCAAACAACTGTGTTTTTTGGAACAGCTGACTCGGAGTAAGACGTATCCTTCAGACATTCATATGCAGTATTTCAAAAACAGGGCTGAAAAACACATGCTTCAGTCTAGAGATACTCTGTACAGACAACAGAGTAGAGAACTGACCTCTCTGACCTTTACTCCTTTAGGTGGTTTGGAGACTGATGTGACGGTGGCACTTGACCCTCGTGACCCCTCACCCGCAGCTTCACTGTCAAACCTGGTGAAAAGTTGTAGGAAAACATGAACACAAGAGAATCAGCACAAAATGAAAAAGGATTTTTTCCACCTCGAGTGTAGAAGTACTGACCAACCAATACTGTATTTGAACTTTTGACCTTGTTGTTTAACACTACAGAATGAATCCTTGCCTAAAATGGACTATATGTTCTTCAAAGATTGTAAATATGGTTATTAACACCTGTAAAATCCAAGGAGCAGTTAGATAAAAGTCTGTCACTCACTTTGTGAACGTCACTTTATCCTTTGGAGAAAAGAAGATGTTTCCTGGTTTGTCCACCGGGTTCCCTGTGGTTCCTGGATGATCTGCTTGTTTGCTGGCAGCTGTTCTTCCTCTGGTTCCTCCTCCATCTCTGGACTCTAGTGTGAGTTTAGGCGCCCAGCCCTCAGGTGAGGGCCTGACACGCTGGGGTTTTTCTTTAGGAGCAGATGTTTGTGATGTTTGTGGATGAGGCAGCAGGTTGTGCAGGGCACGTCCTCGGATTTCGGCCGCAGCAGCAGGAGGCGCCACTGATGGAGCAGTGGAGTCCGACTGTGTTCTGGCATGGGGAGCGACTCCTTTTGTTTTCTCGGTCAGCAACGAAGAAGGTCGAGGAGGTCTGGCCCTCGCCTCAGGTGCACCCACGTCTGGTCTGCTCTTACGACTTTGCTGTATCCGGTGAAGAGCTTCACCTCTGTGTTTCTCAAACATTTCATTTTCATACTTGGCGAAGAAGAGGCGCTGCCGCTCCAGAAGTTCTTTCTGCTGTCTTATCTGCTCCATCATCTCTCTTTCATTCTGCTGCTGCTGATTCCGCTGCCTCTCCTCTTTCTCCTCATTTAGTCGAACCAGTTTCTCAATGACAGCCTGGTCTGCCTGAGGGACAGAGGTGGAGCCAGAGAATGGATCTGGACCTGGTACTGGATCAGGTTTTTGTGGAGACGGCGTCAACTCCCCAGTCTGAGCAGCAGCATCTTGTAGTTGTACTTGCGGGCGGATAAAAGCACTGAGCTCTTCTCTCAGCGGTGTTTCTTTCTGCATACTGATGACCACAACCACAGGCCGACGTATTGACTCTTGTCGCTCTTTCTGGGGTTTGATGGTAGAAACAGCTGCCTCTGTGTCCTGTAGAGGTTTTACTGCAGGAGGATGGAAGATGACTGCAGGGCCTTCACTGGCCGGGGTGTAGAATGTTGGGAGGTAATTGTCAATTTTGGGCAGATGTGTGGCGTTAGAGGCTGAAGTCAAATCCATTTGGTTCTGGAGTTTCTGGCTGTCTGGTGGAGCAGCATCTGAAACCTCTGCTGTTTGAGAGTCATATGATTTGGGGTTTGTTAAAACAACCTCTGCATTAGACTCAGGTTCCTGGATAACAGTAGGAGAAGGGGAGCAGGTGTCCTCAATGTCCATCACCTCCTCTGTTGCCTTCGGTGGCTCGTCGTCCAAACTGAGGAGCTCAAAGCTGCCCTTAGAGCTCTGGCTGTCAGGAGTGCCCCCTGGTGAACAAAGCGGTGAGGCTGCAGGAGGCACCAGCTCTGCGGACCAGCGACGTTCCTCGGGGGGAGATGAGGCTCCACCGCTGCTTGCTCGGACCTTCAGGAGCTCCAGGCTGAACTTGGCCTGCTCCAATTCTCTCATCCGACGACTCTCCCTTTTGGCCCGAGTGTTTTTCTGACTGGACTCATCTGAAGTTCTTGTTCTTTCCCGCACCACCACAGTGGATGCAGTGGACGGAGCCTCTACTATGGCTGGTGAGGAAGGTTCTTTTGTTCCAAGTTCTCCTCGCTCTTCATCCTCCCTGACTGGCATCTCCTGGATGCTGAGTATCTTCAGGTTCTTTTGTCGCTGCTCGTAGGAGCGATCCTCCCAGGTGGTGAGGTCCAACCCAGGGATTTTAGCAGATGGTTCCTCCTCTTCCTCTGGTGAAGGACTCTCCCGGCCATTCTGTAGAAGCACCTCCTCCTGCCGCTCCTTCAGTTTTTGTTCTCTTAGGATTTTAAAGCTGTCATTCAGAAAAAGATTGGATTAAGGCTTGACTTTGGTACACTGAAGGTAGAATATGCAACATTTTTAAAGAAACAAACAAAACCATGCTGCCACATTCATTTGAAAGAACCACTAGAAGTGTATGGTGGTGTGTTAAAGTCCAGTATCTCCCACCTTAGAGGTCCAACCTTTATATCCTAGCAACAGTAAAGAACACAAGATGAAGTGCTCACCTTTGCCTGGCCAGGTAGCCTCTGCCGACTGCCTGTAGTCGTACCACAGCTTCATACAGACAGAGGTAGTCTTCTCTGGCTCGATGACAGCGCCAGGCCGTCTGAATAACCAGAGCTGCCGTACAACGCCGTTGCAGCCACGATCTCCACGCCGTCTGGAGAACCAGTGCAGCCTGTCTCCATAATCTGAACCTCTGCCGCTCCCGGTAACCTCTCCAGTGTGTCTGCAAACACACCGCTGCCCCCTGTTGGACAGCAATGTCACACATCTCGTCGTCATCGTCTTCTAGTTCTTCCTCATCTTCAATTGAGCGATACAAACGCCACCATTTCTGTAAGAACAGGACAATTATTTTTAACTTAGCTTGAAGCTTCTTTTACATAGAAATGGCAATATACTGTATATGTATGTAAATATATATTTACATTGATATAAATATTTATATATATACTATTAATATTTTATGAATATATATATATACTGTATATATATACACATATATATATAAATTGCAATATATATATTAACAATAACAAAACCAACAACAATAATAATATACTATAATGACTATATTTACAACAACAATAATAATATTAATTACAGTAAATCAAAATACATTAAAGGAAGAATTTGAGTTAATTAACACATATGAAAGTCAACAAAATTAAAATGGATTACATGACAGAGGTACTGTCTATTGTTCCAACTTGTACTGCCTGTATTTGTATCACAGCATACACTCAGAAACCCATTAAAATACCTGGATGCAGACTGCTGCTTCCCTCATCCTCACAAACTGCCTCCTCTCCAGCCGGGCTCTGAACCTCCGCTGCAGACCGACGATGAGTCTGAGAACTTTGCTGTGGAGCTGGGCCTGCAGCTGCTGACGCTCGACCTCCCGCAGAAACACCTGGGAGGAGGAGACAGTGATGGAGTCAGTGCAGTGTACTACAGTAGTCCAGAGACTTAATGAAGACTGAGGCCAAAATTAAAACACACTGCTGACTGTTACTCACCAGAACATAAACCACACAAATGTCTGAGTGGACATATCATCGCAGGAATGTCAGGTATGACCCCCTAATTATATAGACAGCATCCCAAATAAAGTCACTTTCCTGGTGGTGACTCATTCATACCACCATCATTATTACACCCTTGACTTGAGAGGACTCTTTCAGGTAATATGTGGTTTTCCACTACACAGTATAATCCTGATCTTATTTGAGGTTGATGTAATCTAACAGACCATTACAACCAAATATTATGCCCCACATTATTAACAGTCAATGTTTCACAATGTGGATTAGCAGCCTGAACATGCAGCAGCATAAAGTTGAATATAAAGCACACGATGCCCCCTTCTTCCCCATCTCCCCCAAACAATGACATCACTGAAGAAAACTGTCTAACCACAGTCTTTCTCCAACGTTTTCATTTAACACCCATTTTATGGCATTCTTTCACTTATTGGACCCTGATGTCTAACATAGCTTTTTCACTGAAATGTCTAAACAATGTCTCCCAAAAATATACATACAGGTTAATTAACAACACAGTTGTTGTGTGCACTAACGCGTCGTTACCGAAGAAAAATGTGGAATACTGTCATTTTCAAAATATTTTTTTAGAGTAAAAAAAGTAATTCTGGAGCATAAATCTAAGATGGTTAAAAACTATTGTCATTTTTGTACAGAATAAGAGACAGTGCAGACATGGATATTTCGTAACGTTAAAAACATATGTAACATATTTACTGTAGTTGTTTATCACAATCAAGTGCCAAAATAACAAAAGAGGTTGAGGGAGTATACCATTGTCTTTCCCACTTGGTATCCTTCTGGTTCCAGGTCCAGCTGGTCCAGACACTGCTGGATGCCCTCTTTGGTGCCACGGGCGCCCTCTGGCAGCAGCACATGAAAGTGATGGACAAAGTCCTGCATGAAGAGAGGAGGAAGTTCAAAAAAACCTTTGATTTAATCAGATTGTTTGACATCCCTGGGTTTGTCATGGTTTTGTTGGGAGCTGAATCTGAGGTGTAATCCTCGAACAGTGAGACCCGAGCGGTCGTCTTCAGTCAACACAAGCAAAGACAAATTAAGAAGAAGCTGTCAAGGCACATGTGTTTCCAGGTAATAGTCTGTGTTGTCCATATTGTCAAGAGTTTAAACATCATGGTATAAATATGCTGAACTCCCACTCTTCAAACTGAGGCTCATTGTCTGAGTTCAATCCACTCTGCAGCCCAGGCTGCAGGGGGTGGACAGGGAAACAGATGCAGTGTTTATACAATTACAGGCATGGGGAGTGTTTGGGAGACTGGGGGACAATGGAGAGGCTCTGTTCTTAAGGGCCTGGAAACTGCTTAGTCCTCCAAAGTCATACTGTGCCCAAAATACTCCTTGTGAATGCCGTCTGCGGCGCTGAGTATGTGTGTGGTGAAGGAATGTGTGATGAGTGAAGATGACCCGGACTCAAGTTAATCCAATGGGATCATCAACAGTTTACCAGTGACAAATAACCAACAGTATAAACAACTAAGTTGCTTCCAACACATGAATGGTTTTCACCTGTTTGTGTTTAGTGTTTGTTTACATAAAGATTTCACATAAAATACTGAAACAGCTATCAAACCAAATTGTTTGCTCTCTCTTTTTTAAGTTACAAATTATTAATTTTGAATGTTCTAGTTCAGGTCTTTTGACATTTGTTTGTGTCTTAATTTATATTATATATAATTAAGCCAGAATTTCTTGACCTCCCTGCTCCCTATTACACTCCCCACCCCCAGTTAAAGACCTCAGGATTATGAAACAGCCAAACTCATCCATATGTGATATTTTGTTGTATATGACTGTTAAATGAAATGCAGATCTGAGGAGTAGTTTAACAATGTAGTCTGGATGTTGTGTTTTACATTAGGTCACTGCTGATAGAAATCACTGACAGGACTGTTATCCATTTAATGAGGTTTAAAGTAGTCCACTGCAGACTTAAGAAGACGAAGAAGCCCAGACGTCTTCTCTTGATACTGTAACTACTCTGTTTTCATAGGACAACGCGACTGATTTGTCACAGACTTTTTTCGTTTCCCAAGTCTTTGACATCATACGATTGGCACAAATCGATGTTTGAGGTCACAGAATGGAAAAACGATCAACATACTCTTTTCTAATCAGCATCAAATACAATCTGCCATGTTAGTCATGGACTGGGGTTTTTTCAGAGGGTTGACATCACTGTTCACAATGAAAGCCAGTGTGGTAAAGATGGCTGCTCTCTTCACCACAACACTGTAATTCTCTCCTCAAAAAAACAGACGTGCCGGGTCAAACAAATTAGCAAAAACAACATGTTTTCCGTTGATGCTAAACTGCTTCACTGGCACAAAACACTGAGCACGGTTCAAACCTTAGGGGTGGTGGACAATGAAACTGATCAGTGCTGATGGGACAGATGACATGTATCACTGTCATTAAAAAAAATAAAAAAAAGTTCAAAACACACTCCTATGTGTGATCAGAGTTTTTTTTTAATCAAATTTGAACTGTTTACTATTCAAAGTTCCACTTAACAGTCTCTGTGTCAGGCCTTTAATAGGATCCAGGGAGTATCCTGCATCTTACTGGACCAGGACTGTTTCTAACCCAGTCTTTACAGGTGGTAAATGGAGTACATAGATTTAGGGATTTATGTATTTTTTGCTTTGATTTTGATATCAAGTATAGGTAGTAACTGCAGGTTACCTTGAAGGTGAACTTGATGTTGTAGCCTGACTGCCGGATGCGCACAGTCTCCAGCATGCCTGTGTACCGCAGCTGCCTGAGCACCAGGTTATCATTAAACCTTAAGGGCAGCTGAGAACAGGAAAGAAAGAAAAAGAAAAGAGAGGGAGGTGGCAGAGGTTACACAGAAAAACAGGGGGAAATGATGAAGAGTCTTAAAAAAAGAGTGCCAACTTCAAAGGAAATGAAAAATGCTTTGAAAATCAAAACCTAAACAGTGAAGAAAGGGACTGCAGGCTGCAGAGATCACACTGTACCTTCTCAGCATTGGAGCGGATGCACTTGACAAAATAAGGCTGAGACTGACCCAGAGTCTCCATTAGTTTGTTGAGAGAGGCCTGCAGGGGGAGACACAGGAACAACAACAAGTCACACACAGTATGAACGTGACATAAGTGAAGGCAGCCTGACTGTTTCAGCTCAGCTGTTGTTTGACACCGACTTCTCTGGGAATCACAAATACCCAGAAAATGTCTGTGCAGGCATGTGGCTCTGCGGAAAAACAAATGTGTGTAGCGTTGCCAGGCCCAGTCATTGTATGTCTGTGTGTGTATAAACATGTGCACATGTGTGTCAGCATGTGTGTGTGATAATTCAGTGCGGCAAGGAATTCAGTCTCCTCCCCCTCCATGGGAGATTAAAGCAATCAGTGCAGCACAGGATGTGGGAGGTGAAGTCATCCACACACTGGGGCCAAGGCTGGGAGCCAGAGGGGCCTCAGCACCTCATCTCTGCTCCAACAGCCGGAGAGTGATCAGCATACTGTTCACTTTTAAACAAGTCTGGAGGAGAGATTCCAGCTTTTTTGTGGTATTTGGAGTTGTTGTTTAGCACCTGCAGCTTCTGATCATTTTTTAGAAGTTAAAAAAACAAAACTGTTGTTTTCCCAGAGAGAATGTGAAGATCAAACAAGTCAAAACTTAAACAAAAATACTTTCTATACAATAAATTCCAGTAAAAGCCCATTAGAGGTTTGAAGTTATTTCTTCAAGAATGTTTATATGCACAGATTTGTGCTTTAAAGTAAAGACCCACACGGGCGTGTCTGACACTGAGACATGGCCAACCACCAGTTAAGAAAAAAGAGACGTTCAAAATTTTTGGTAAAGTCTCCAGACAGTATGTCATAAATTCAGGAAACAGAAGTGCTGTAAATAGATGTCCTGCTGTATGAGTCCACTATGACAAGGGTGAATGGAATGGCACATCAAATCACAATTCTACACATATGACTCTGAAAGGAAATCAGGACATTTTATAACAGTATAAAACATACCATATATGGGCGTATGTTTGTTGATTTACAAACCTCAACACTCTTTGACATATTTACAGTGACACACTCCTCAGTTTCCAACTACTGATTGAAGTCTTTTTTTAATTAAAATAGCATTTCATCTGGTAAACTGCTTTATGTTGCATTGGATGTGTAATGATAATTTGAGCACATTATTTGTTTTGGCCAAATAAAACTTAGCAAACAGCCAGGCTGTTTTTGGAAGAGTAGAGAAATGTCCTTTTTTTTTCATAAAGTCTTTCCTCTGGGTGTCTAGCAACTTTGTACAAGTACTTTGTGCTGAGATAAAAAGATTCATCCTTTAACACACATTATGTTGAAACACATGGATAAAAGACAGTGAACAGACAGCCAAAAAAAAAAAACTATTGAAAAATGTTTCCATCACAGCCAGTTGCCCTGACACACCTTGTTTTTATCACATTCACAGCTGGATGGGAAAGCAACAGGTCCAGACTGTAGCACTGTTATTTCAGTGTCTGTTTCCATGTGTGTGTGTGTGTGTGTGTGTGTGTGTGTGTGTGTATGTGTGACCTGGAACTGTGCGCTGATACTGGGTGGCTTCTTCTTCTTGTGCAGGTGAAGCAGTGACTTGGTGATCCGGTCGTGCAGCGTCAGGTTACTGAGGTGCTTCAGAGACTTGACATTAAGTAAATGCTGAAAAAACATTTAGTCACAGTCATTTAAAACGCCAAGAACAATGTGTTACACTGTAAAAGCAACACAACCGAAGAGACACAGAAACAGACCTTGGGCAGAGCTGGCTTTGATTTGTAGTTTTTGTTCCTCCTGTTGGTGAAAAAGAAAACAGAATGAGGTTTTATCAAGTTTAACAACCCAGTAAACAGATCTATCGTCTATCTCCTTCAGTCTAAGAAAGCTAATATTTCTGTCAATAAAGTGAAATTTAATTCCTCCCTATGGGCAAATCCACTTGCCCCCCCCCCCCCATTTGGGAGGTCAGAGGTCAGAACAGCAGCCTTATAGGTATGCACTCATCTCTGCGGGCCTCTTCACCCAGGCAGATGTTTGATGACACTGAGTTTGAACTCATACTGTTCATTTCTAAGGATGTCTCAAGGCCATGAAGTCCAAACGTGACCCAGATAATGACGAGCAACGAAATAAAATGCTGCCTTTGAGAGCCTTTGTAATTTAAAATATTGGAAAAATATAAAACCATAACAAAAGTCATCCACTAATCCTGAACTCAGCTTCTGTCAGAATATCACAGACTGCAGCTGTTTCTCATTACTGACATCAGGATGTCGTGAGCTCTCTCCAGGATTTTGCTGCTGGCTGAGTTGACAAAGATGCCTTCTTCCTCTGTGTTGTGGCAGCCTGACGACACATGGCTGCGTCGACCCACGCGTCCATTCCAGCCCCTTCAAGGCAAAAACACAGAGCTGGGTTGTTAAAAAACCAAAAGGAAAATAGAAAAAGCATTTTAAAAGTATTCTAATTTTGTATTAACATCAGTGTTGGCATACAGTGTTTTTACATTTACTTCTGGGCACTTGGCCCCATGTCTCCAGCAGGGGCAGTATAACCTCTACACATTTCTATGCAGAGAAAGTGGAGTTCACCTCACACCACACCAAGTAGAGTTCACTGAGGCTTTACATGTTTTAAACCTCGGGTCTGGAGAGGTGAAACCTCACCACCTGTTCAGAGTCATAACAAAAACAGCAGCGGTCAGATTATGGTCAAAACCATTAACCAATCTGAAGTCTGGGAGCTGCTGAACAACCAAATAAAACAAGAGGCAGGAGAATTCTGACTCAGCTCTGCAGATTACTGGAGCATCAGGAATTTTTCAGTTTCAGGTCAATTTGTATGAAATGTTGTTTGTTTGTTCAATGATTGAATAAGGACTTTTAAAGAGCTTTATATATTCTTTGGCCACAGCTGTTTTGACCAATCGTATTCCAATTCCCATTCCTGTGCAAATTCCAAATTCAAGGAGCTATCGCAGGAGCAAATTCTATATCAATCATTTCCATATCGGTGCCACCATGGGGAAATTATTGCACTGATTTGTTATTCTAATTACTTTGTTCAATGGGAATAGCAGTTTTGTAGGAATGAAAGAACTTAAATAAATATCAAAAGATATTTACTTATATGTGGGTCTGGGGGGCTGCAGACCACTGTTGAAAACATAAGGCCTGTAGCCCATCCTGATTTGTGACCTGATTTCCTTTTTATTGACTCAGAGAAGTACACAGTGGAACTTGAAATGTAGCCTAACTGGACCATTCTCCACCAAATAAATTGAAAACAATGGTTATCTAGTAAAAGTATGTGAATAAAGTGATCTCTTGATGGAGGCCAGGCTGTAACACCAGCAACCTGCAGTAAATTATGATATGATTATGATATGATTATAGCAGCAGAATTACATAGTTGCACTTATAAATCCTGGCTTTCATATTTATTGGTGAATATTTACCCAGAGTGCACAGTGGCTGTATGTTAAAGGGAGTGTTTTGCTCAGTTCATATCTCTGGTATAACTCGACTTCTACAGATACTGTTGTACTCCACAAGGCACTGCTCTGTCAGAGACTGAATATTTACTGAATATTTTACTGTTCCCTGGTTGCTTTTCTCCGATGCATAGAACTGCCTTTACATCACAGGAAGCAGCTGCTCAGGCTTTAGCGCTCTCCTCGTATGTGGAGAATGCGTGCACGAGTGTGTGCAAGTACAAAGCGAAAAGACAGCGAGGGAGGGCAGAGGTTGCAAATCACATTACGAAGGGATTTGGACAGCCCCGGACTGAGAACTGGTGCAACAAAAGCTGTCTGTTACAAGTTTCTCTCTGCTAGCAGCCGTGGTCGTGGGGTGCTAATCTCATGGTCCACAGCTAATTAGAGGAGGTGGTGGACCGCGCTCTAACTGGGGTGGTATGGGAGCAATGCTCGGGGTCAGAGAACAGTCATCAGTCTTTTTTAAAGGCATGGCATGTCTGTGTCAATGCCCCGAGGTGGACGTTAAAGCATCGGTCTATGACAGCATGCATTTAACAAAGGCTTTGAGAGCTCTGTAAAAGGTTAATATTTACTTTCTTTGTAATATGTACGTGAGATTAAATGAAATAAGGTCAATGTGGGGTCGAAGGTCATCGAAGAACTGCAGCAAGCCAGGAGAGCTAGAGAGAGGATCTGTTAAGATACTGTAGTACTTTTTGTCTGTTTATCCCATTGCCGTTCGTCAAACATACTAAGCACTGAGATTATTGTTATCTTTTCCCCAGTATTTTAGACCAGCGATTCCAGATCAATGTACAGTGGGACACCTGTGTACCACGAAAGAATGTATGGTGTGCACTGAAATAAAACCATTATTTATTTACTGTAACCTTTATTTGCAGTAGTGGCAAGCAGAAAAATACTCTTCCAGTAGGTGGCAGCAGATGGCTATAAAAACGAATAAAAAAGCAAGACAGAGCTGTAAAAAAAAATCTTTGTTTTTTTTTTTCTTCCATTTCTTTGAGTACATCAGCGTTGTGTTCATCTAAACAGGCCCAAGTTTAATGAGTTGTGAGTAAACTGAAAAAAACATTATATTTGATGGCCATTTTGGACCAATCAGGCTGCAGTTTTAACAGCATGTGTTTTTCCATATTGTGCTTTCTAACAATAAATAACATGAATAAAAAGGATTCTTATCCATTTAGAGCCTACAGCTGGTGTTGTGCACGGCTTCATCATTATCAGGTGTTCTAACACACTGGTCTTCATGTGACTCATTCACAGGAGCTCTTGCACGTCCACCTGCTGCATATCTGCGGTATTTCATGAATGCGGGCATAACTACGACCTGTGGGTGAACTCTGTCTACACATGTAAGTAGTGCATGTGATCAAACGGTGAAAGTCACAGTGGAACCCAGACTCTTACCGAGGTGGTTTGTCGTTAACACTGTTGCCTCCCTGAAGGTCTGACGGCCGACTGTGTGCATTTCTCCTGGTCACACCTGGTTGCAAACAGACAGGTTGGTAAAATATGAAACATCACCACCAACCACCAACCACCAACCACCAAGCACCACAAATACACAAACAAATCCCCCAATTTTGACACACAAACAAGTGATGAGATCCTTCAACCTCTTGACAAGCCAAATAGACAAGAAACACAAGTGAAATGTTACTGTTCTGTTATTGCAGTGAGTGTTATGTTCCTATTTAGTGGGAAAATAACATTTAGTTTGGTGATGACTCAGGAAAGGGTTGTGGGGTAAAGTACTTTTGTTAGTATATAATACTGCATATAATTTAAAAATGTAATGAAGGAACTTAAACTGAATGCTTTTCTAAAACTCTATTAGGTTACCTACGGTAATACAGGTCTCCTCAGTGCTTTTATACTAGTACTTTAAGATTTAAGGCTTCTCTTCACCAGAAGAGTCCTTCATGGTCTGCAGCATTCTCTTCTTATTGTCTCTAATACTGGTCAATCTTTCTAACTCTTTAGAAGCGTTTGTGTTTGAATGAGTTATACATAAAACTGTGACTAACTTCAGTGTGAATTTGCTTCTTTTAAGAATGTTGAATGGACCAGCTGACAGTGACATTTTCATTATATGATCAACAAGGTGATGTCCAAAAAGAGGAGATCAAAGTGGAATGAGAGTAAATGGTTAATACTTTGAATTGTTAAGTGTTAAGATGGTGTTATAATAATCCTACACCAGCTCACATTAGTCCGAAAAACAAAACAAAAGAAAAATCGGCAGAAAAAAATCCACGCTGCGAAATGTTTAAATCCAGTGACAGTGAATGATTTTCATTTCCGTGACTTTGTCAGATGAAGACCGTTCTGTGCTGCAGCAGTGTGTGACGGTCACTGTTAGCCCATTTCACCACATGTTAAGTTGCCTGTGAAGCTGCCTGTTAGTGATGATGACAAAACACCTTTGAACTTCAAAAAGTCATTGCGCTTAATTTGTTCATTTCCACATGGAAATGTAGTGATGAGGGTTTTTTCTCTTTTGTTTAACCAGAATAAAGTGAGTTGTTTGCACTTTGCAATCATACATTTTTCTGCGAAGCATTTACAAGCACAGAGTTAGTGACAGAGTGGCTGAAACATGCGAGTGAACGACACGCAAGACAGGACCATGAGAACAGGCACAAGCAAAGGGGGGAGGAGGGAGAAGTGAGAGGGAGTGGAGACCATCAAGCATCTGATCCACTGACATTTTCAAAAACTGAAAATCGCAAATCACAAAGCAGGAAACTGATTCTTTGTGAATTATATTTTTAAATAAAACACTTTTAGTTTAGATGTCTGTGTGTTTCAGCTGTGTTTTGCTTCAGTAGATTGATTATGTCATCCGTGTCCCTTCACTTTCCTAAAGGGTCAGGGTCTAAAAGGAGGACATGTGCAGCCTTACTGTACTTCTCCTCTTTGCATCTCTGTAGGATCTCTAAGCTTCTCTGATGCACAGGGTGCTGCAGAAAGCTAAAACTATCCACACTTTTCAAAAGTGCACCGGGAGCAGCCTCATCATGCCCTTGGAGAAGCAAAACAAACAAACAAACAAACAAAAAAGGAGATGTGAAATACACAAGAAAAAGAGAGAAAAATAACAGATTAGACAGTGGGAAAAGATGAGGAGAAGCATTCGTCTACAGGAGAGAAAATGATTGACTTTTGAGAAGTTGGAGTCTCCAGCTTCTCCATTTAGGGTTTCCTGAATTAAAATAGATAAATAAATTTTAAAAAATGTTGAAAAACAAATATATATTAATTCATTATATCCTTAAATTAATTCTTAAAAATGTACAAAGGGCTCCATTTAGGTGACGGTTACATGTTTATCTAAACATATATAAGACTTAGAATAAATGTTTTACATTTGCCCAAATACAGGATGTCAGATCCATACTCCATACTGAAGCTGGAATATCAAAGACAGTTTGAGCAGAAAGAAGGCAGTCGTATAAATAGCCAGAGCTAAGAGAAAATACGCAGCAGACTAATAATAATAATAATAATAATTGTGGCATTAACAGCACATCAGCTGCAACAGGCTGCCCCTTGGAGGCGCCAAATATGTGGTTCCTCTGGAAATCGAACTCAGGACTCTGGGCTTGCAAGACAGGCACACTGACCGCTACAACTCTACCAGCTCTACTGACACATTTAAACAGTAATAAAAACATGGAAGAGAAAATACTAAATACTGTGCACTCAGCAAAGTGGACAGACATGTAAAGCACACGTGACGTACAACCCTACACCACTGATCTAACACATTCTAAAGCATGGGCAGAACAACGCACTGTACTCCAACCATGGTCCATGCACCTGTTCTTGCACTAAAACACAGTTGATACACATGGTATTTACACACAGTGCTGACAAAAGTTTTAGTTTCAATGAACCTCAAGATTGAAATAACATCTCAATGTCCAGGAGTTTTAAATCTTTTTCTTGATATTTTTTCTTTATATTCACCTCCCTGCTGCTGTTTCATTTTCTGTTGAAGCAAAAGACCAAAATGTGTTTCTTTGGTCATAATTAGGAATGTTGTTCTATCTCAAATAATGATGATTCACTGTAAGGCCAAAATAATGAACCTCATACTAGAAGTAAAAAAATATTGTTTTAATTTGCTTTTATTCTTGTTTTAATTTGACTAAACAACAACAGCAAAGCCCTTCTTTATAATTCACTTTTCACTTTCCCACAGACTGTGTGTGTCTCCGTCAGTGTGAGTGCTCACCCGTCTTTTTCAGCGTGTGTCTCTTCCCAGCATCTCTAAAAGCCACCACAGCTCTGAAGTACGCTCTCAGAACTGCCCAGCGGAAAGTGGCCGCAGGGTCGATGCCGATCAGGCCACAGATGAAGGAGTTTTTACTGCTCTTGAGCAAAGCAACAATATCTGGACGCATGTGGTCAGTGTTCTTCTCCCGGAAATCCTGCACGAGACGTACCACAGCAATCAGCGGTATTGCTTTTCTTTCTTCAAGAGTATTCATTACTGCAGTAGAGCATTGTTAACTCTTCATCTTTGAACAGTTAAATGGAGCAATAATAAACACAGCTGATCAATCAACAGAATAAACATTCAAACATCAACACCAATTTGCCTAATCGTTGTCTCTTTGACTCGTTCCATGCTTGCATGACTCCAGCCCCGTCTGTTTCACAACAACACAGACCCACAGTGATTTAACAGGCATTGATGCTTTAACACGTCTGTAGAGCAGACTTTGGGCTTTGGAAATGTTTACAATCCATCTGATGGTGTTTAAAAATCCTGTGCACAAACTGGAAAACAAAGCAATCAAAATGTTTGGAGAGCTGAGAAGAGAAGAGTTCTTTTCAATCAAACCACTAATTCAATGATGCTGTGTCGAAATATGAAAGAAAAAAAATGACAGTAAACTACAACAGGAAAACATCAGAGGAGACACACAGCTGAGATAAGATGCAGAGAAGGTGTAAAGACGACACTGACCTTGACCCCGTATTTGACCTTTCCAGCATAGTGGTGAATAATGAAGGCCGGCTCCATCACCGCGGGGAACTCGATGTAGCTGTTTCCCTCATGCTGCCGCTTGAACTTATCCAACAGTGTCTGGTTGGTGGCTTGAGGGAAGCTGGAATAAAAGTCAGAGAAGAGAAAAATGTTATCTGAAGAAGTCAAAGCTGACGTGTGACATCTGTTTCTTAAATGAAAACACACTGAGTGACCACCTTGGCCAGGAAATTACAGTGTTGATGCACTTGTTTCCAGGTTGTCAAATAAACCAAGTCCAAATGAAAAAAAAAAAAACAATCACTGGAAATGTTCAACAGATTCCTGAAACCTCCATCAAAGAAGAATGAAATTAATTAAAGACAAAAAAACAAGCATTTGGATCACAGTTAATGTGACAAACTAACACCATCAAACCTGTGGATTGTAGACTGTACAGGATGATTCACAGACTGACCACCGCACAAATTTCTCTTTTGTCTTTTGATGGTGATTCTGCAAATAATCAAGAGTTTACAGGAAGAGAAGGGGAAGAACAGGACACCAGAGGTTTGGGAACAGGCTGAAATCTGAGCTACTAAAACAACACAGCCAGAGTTGTGGTGCTTTCCAGCTTCTCCAACCAGGAGGCATCAGATTTGGTCCAAATGGAAGAGAAAGAGAATAGCACAGTACAAAAGCACAGATAGTCTGCAGTTTAGAACAGCTGCATATCAGGTTCATCCATTTAACCAACAGTCTGATGAAAGTGTTTCATTTCAGAAACTTATCAGATCAGACCAATAGATAAGACCATTCTGATTTACAGGCTGCTGCTGAGCTGGACTTGTCAGAGCCGGAGATCCATCCATCACTGGTCTTCTACATGGGTTTAACCCCAACATCTCATAACAAAACAGTTTTAGGTTCTTTGTTTCCTATAATAAGCTGAAACACAGGCCGGTTCTGGTTCCAAAATTCTAATCGTGTGGAGCAGTTCTTGAGAAGTCAATTTTACAGTAGTATTTCATTCCTGTAAAAGTTTGTATAAACATAAGTGGTTCCCATTAGTGCTGGAAAGTATTGTTTAAAACTGTAGTATCTCTTTGCATGTTTACTGGAAATGAAAAGTCAGAGAGTCGTTATAAGGACAGAAAATGACAGAGAAAGAGAAGGAGACACAGCTTTGGTCTGAACGTCTGGCAGGAATGTTTGCTGTTACCTGCCAGAGATTTTTGACAGTTTCCCTGAAGGAAAATTTCATGAGTTACCAAGGACCAGGAATCAGGCAGATAAATAAACAGGCCGACAGACTCACTTGCACTCTTCGTCCAGTAGGTGGAACAGAGCTGTGGGCTTCTTACTGATCAGGTTGATGCAGCCGGTGTTGTCGATGTAGTCGATGTTTCTCCAGCTGATTCCCTCCGCCCTGTACTCTTCCTGCAGCAGAACATTACAACAACCACAGACGTCAGTTCTGATGGTCAGTATCTCAGCAGCACGCTCAGCAAACTCAATAATGTGCTTAGGTCGCTGGATGGATGGATGGATGGATGGAGGGATGGATGGATGATGGATGGGTGGATGGATAGATTGATAGATAAATAGATGGGGGGGTGGATGGATGGGTGGATGGATGGATAGATGGATGGATGGATGAACGGACGGACACATGGATGGACGCATGGATGGATAGATAGAACTTTACTAATCCCTCTGGAGTTCCCCTTGGAAAAGTACAAGTTTGAGTACAAGAGTGAGTATTTAAATGAGGAATCAGACCCAATACAGACACCAATCCCAAAAATAAATATTTGTCTGGTGTCAGTTTAAGCTAACTGGCTTCTCTTCTACTCCTTCAGTAGTTGCAGTCTAAAGACGGTTGATAATTACTGTGACAACTGCCAACTGTTGTAATCAACTTAATAAAGGTGTTTTCCTCCTTCTGCTGGTTTGATGTCAGTCTGCCATCACGGCTGATCAATTAACAAAATCCATCTGCTCATTAACTTCAGCTGATGCTATAAAGCTGCTTCTGCAGGAACAGAAGCCATGTCAGCTCTCAGTCTGTGGATTTCAGGAGGACAAAGTGCTGTTGATTGATTTTTCCTCTCACACACATAAAAAAAACTATTGTGCAAACCATTAGGAATATCTGAACACTGACATCTCACATGTTGGCAGTCTGATTCATGGGACCTCCACGAATCGATGTGAGACACATTTAAAGATTTACTCTCATGTAGAGGAAGTCAGAGTTGAAAAAAAAAATCAATCATTTTCAAACCATAGTCTACGAAAGAGACCAATGATCACTGAGTACAGTATTTAACACATTAGACATGTATTTAATTGTGTACCTGTCAACGAAACATTTTAAACACTACCATAAATGGCAGATATGGTTACTGTCAACCTAACCTGTGTATTTATGAACTGTGGTGGAACCCATAGTACCCAGAGAAAACCCACACACACACACACTAGATATTTCAGGCGACCCCATTTGAATTCCAGGGGACCCCACGTGGGGTCACGACCCTAAGGTTGAAAAACACTGTTCTGGGGTGGAAGGAGGAAAATACATGGATATGACTATCAATATTTACTATAATTATCAACAATGTAGTGCAACTGGATACTGGAGTTGACTGCACTGGGGAGCAGTGTGTGGGGACGGTGCCATGCTCAGTGCACCTCAGTTGAACCTGGTGGCTGGAGGATTCAAAGCTGCGACCTTCTGATCACAAGTCTGCTTCCTGATCCACCACTGCCACCATGCTGACTGGCTGCTGACTGGCTGCTATTACTTCAGTGGAGTAATATTTTACAAAATCTTTATGGAGCTCTTGTTACCTTGTCTTGCATTATTCCTTGCAAGAGCTGCATTCAATGTATGGATGTTTATGAGCCTAAAGCTTTGTAGTATCAGTATATGAAGTATCACAAACACAGCCACTGATGGAGCCGACCTCCTTCTGTGATTAATTGAAAATCAATTTCATTCACCTACAACCAAAATACAAAGGATCCTTTGAAGCCTCTTGATTCTGTTAGTCTTGGCATATTTATGACGTACAGATGAGGCAGTGTCAGCTGAACAACTGTTTTTGTACTGAGCAGGAACGACTCCAGCGACAAACGCCTGGAAGCCTGTAATTCATGAAGTTCAGGGAAGCTTCCAAACTTGTCCTGCCTCTAAATCACGTGGCGGCCCGTCACTGATTTGACTGAACATCAAAGTAAACACTGTGTTTAACTCACAGGCACAAACGTACACATGGTCACCCTGAAAGGCTCCTTTGAAGTTAATCAGCTCACTTAGGAGAGGACTTCTCCCCACAGTCAGGGTGGTCACACAGCTCCTCTGAACAACCTAACCCTCTGAAAAATGTCTGCATCGTTTCCATGTGATTGTGATGTAGATGAGGGAGCGTGCGCTGTGATTCGCTGGGAAGAAGAAGTGAGGCCGATCGGAGGCGTCTCACCTGTTCGATCTTGAAAATGTGCTGGTTGAAGTAGTGCTGGAGGCGTTCGTTGGCGAAATTGATGCAGAACTGTTCGAAGCTGTTGCTCTCGTAGTCTTCGAAGCCAAAGATGTCTAGCACTCCGATGGACAGGGTCTAAAAACAGTGCATATAATTACTATGGTATATATATATACATATATATACATACATATACATACATATACATATATATATATATACATATATATATATATACATATATATATATATATATTCATGGACAGCTACTGCAGTAAATGACTTACAAGAGAAGGTGTTCAAAGAGAGCAAACTTCTAGGATTCTTAATTTCCCCACAGTATCTTTATACTAAAGAGAACCTAAATACATGAAATGTTCACTTTTTATCATATATCTTGTGTCATCAAAATATGTTTGTACGTCTCATTATGTTTTGCTGTCTTAAATACAAACACAGACCAGACTAATAATAATAAAAACATACAGGAAATCCTGATGTTATGTGTAACACATTCTGCTCCGTCCCACCTGGGTGGTGTCCTCCAGATCTTTGATGTTGAGCAGAGCGTGGTTGATCCTGAAGACGATCCAGTCAAAGAGGGCACTGTACAGGGACTTCGCCATGGAGTCTCGCACCGTACACGCCTGTCGACACACAGATAGACACACACACCAGCTTTATTTAATAGTTGTTTCAAAACCAACACTTTGTTTGTCTTCAGCCTCTGAGCCATATACAGTGTTAATAATAAACACAGGTGTTGTCCAGGTGAGATCTTACGCAGCACTGATTTTTTGTGTTAAATAAAACACAGAACTCAGAGTTGACACAGTAATTATTTTCTTAAATTATTTCATGTGAAAGCACAACAGTACGACTTTCTTTCTAGTCCACCTAACATGTCAATAGCGTTTGTGCTGAAATTTGCTTCTTAATATTTTGGAGATTGTCATAAAATGTTTCTTTACTTTTTGGACTGAACAACAAAATGAAAAAAAAAGAAAGAAAAAAACATATATTTATGTCAAAAAAATTGCAAGTCTGTGCACAAAAAGCGTTAAAAAAAACCCCAATTCTAATATTTACAGATTTTAATTGAAAAAACTGTTCTTATTAAATTGGTAGAAAAGAAGGTTTCCTAATATCTGTGTTGAGACACAGCTCAAAACCACTGAGCTGTGACGCTGACTCAAAATCTTTTTTATAATTAACAAGAATATTTTTAGCCACCGCAGACCAAGTATGTCCTCCCCGTGTCCAGACACATAATATTTTGAACTCCGTACATACTGTTGCCCTAATGGCCCATAAGCTTTTCATTATTTACAGGAAGTTGTACTGCAAACATCAGAGGAGGAAACAACTTCATAATTTCAGACCAAAGTCATTACAGAAAATATTTTCTGTGAGGTTTAGAAGTGTATGATATCAGTGACCAAACAAAGAGATTGTTGTGACTGTGACTGTGTAATATTTACACAGAGACCACCCAGAATGTCCCCAGAGTCAACAGCATTTCTTCGTATGAAATAGCTTTTAAATATCTGAAGGAACGTGATGAGGTTAAGACAATCTCCACCAAAAAAAGAAGGGCAGAGACGTTGAAAAGTGCATCTTAAAATTTAACTCCAAGATAGTTTGGAGAAAAGTAATTAAGGAAAGGTTTGTGGTGATTTTAATGTGATTTAAATGTGATCTTATGTTTCTTTCGCAGTTTGCTCCTGACCGTTGTGTGGACATTTGTTGTCAGAATAGAAAGTTCCAGTTCAAACTGTGAAGTGGTTCGAAACGCTTCGTTCTGAGGCCCAGAAAATTTCAGTCGATGCACTGAAATGCATGTGTTTTTTTTAACAAGTATGTACTGTTGTGAGTATGTGCACATGTGTGGCTTCATACCAAAGAGCTGCAGAAATAGAGGGGGAGGAAAAGACAAGGAGGACGAGGAGGACGAGGAGGGGATGGTTCAGTACTAGTGCACACTGTCCTCTGAACATGACCTGGTCAGACTTAAAACAACTTTGCTGGAACAGAGTCACAGCGTTCACTAGTAGCTCAAACCTTAGACGATACTTTGTTAAACATGAGAAAATAATTTATGCTAGAATTATGTTTCTACATTTGCATTTAAATAAATAAGGATTCTAAAATAAACACTAATGTTATATACTTTTCAATTTATTTTAGTTAAAATAAATGTACAACTGTCCAGGTTCTCTGAGAACAGAGCTGTAAATTATAGTACAGCAGTTAATGGAGTAAATGTGCACTGGTGAAAATTGGGTTTGAAGAAGGACTTAGGCTGACAAAGCTTTTAAACCACGGAACCTCAAAACTGGCTAATTAGCACGTGTAAGATTTGGATTACAGCACAATGTTAAGTGTGTGTGTCTAAGACCAAAAATAAACCCAGTCTCACCTCAGACAGTCTGTATGGAACAATCAGCTTTTCTCCCACAGTCACCGTTTTTCTCGTCGTCAGAGCCTCAAACAGCATCTCCTCTTTAACCTGGTGACAGGAAACGCTGGAGTCAAGAAGAAGCTGAAGACACAGGACGTCAGGAACTCATCTGGATTTTACACTGGAACTTGTATATGATCTGGAAGCCTCTGATCCACTCACAGGGTGTCCTCTCTTTTCTCAAAAGACTATTTTCAGCCGGTACTGCCTGGTGTCGTACACTAGCTTTGACCTTTAACCCTTTCCAATTGTGTTTGAAAGAATTTGACTTTTATTTTACAATTTAACTTGTTTTTTTCTGAATCATTGGACATTCATTGTCAAGGGTTTGGGGGATTCAGTCTGAAGATTATATTTGGACATTTAGGAACTTTGAACAGGCGGTGCCTTCATGAACATTTCACTGTGGATATTTAATAGTTTCTCCTGTTTCATTTAAACAACAACCAGCACTGCATTAGAAATAGCAGGACTCTCTGACGTTTGCGTTTACACATTTGGATACGTTGCACTTTTGGTTGATCTGAAAGCAGCCATAGATAATATGCAGCTATAACATACATGACACCCATAATTCCAGAAGTGTTGTGTTTAAGTACCTCCAACAGCTCTGAGACCACGGGGAGAACTTCTGGGTTGCAGATGTCAATGGAATCGTCTCTGTACGTTTTCTTTTTGTAGCAGATGTTTCCCAGATGAAGGATGGCTGACAGCAGGGAAAAGATCCTGCAAAGCATTATGGGAGAAGCTAATGAAACAAAAATGGAGAAAGTACGACAAACAACCTGTAATACCATTCACCTCACTGGTTGGACCAATATATTGATCACTCACTTTTTGCGTGTAATGGGAAGAAATCCCACCATCTCCATGGCCAACTGAAGCCTCTCAAAGTCATGCTTCAAGTCTTCTCCTTCAACAGTGAAGCAGTCCTATTAAAACACACACACACACACACATACACACACACAGACACAACAGGAAGAGGGTGTTGTCAGACTCTCGCCACTTTTTACGACACAGCAGCCTGGAAGCCAAAACCAAGTGGAGTTAGGAAGGACTTACTGAGGACGGTCGATACACACTGTCTGAGTATTTTTCATGTTTACAGAGAGTCCAGCAAAGATACTTTAAATAGTGTCTGAGTTTATCTTGTGGTCCAAGCACAAAACAACACAACGGACCGAAGCAGACAAACCATTGACCGTCTCAGTTTGGAATAAAAACTGCAGACATCATCTGCATCATCCCGTCTGACAAAGGTCTAGTGAACAACAACAACTGTCCTGCCTTATCCTCGAATCAATGTGTTGAAATGCTAAAAAAACAAAACAACGAAAGGACAGCGGAAGTTTGTGTTCGTTTAGAGCAGTGATGGAAAAGTTAACAGAGAGGTTGGTCTGGTTTGTCCAGAAATAATACCAATGATGTCAGACTACACATTACACTATTTATTTGTTATGATGTGAAAGAATTGGCTGATCAAAGTGAGTGACAGATTACATTACACTGGACCGAACACAGTTGTCATGATTGACGTAACAACATCAGAAGGGGCAGCAAAGAGCCAATCAGTGTGGACTACAAACACTGGTGTTGACATCACAGGGTAAAAATATAATGTTTGGTTTACATCGACCTGTCAGATCATGTGAGTCCTGCCAGGTAGTGTTGTTGAAACAGCTACATGTATGGCTGTGCAGTACAGAATGGGTACAGAGTAATATAGAGTGTGTACTACTCTATAGTACAGTTTAGTACAGTAGCTGTAGGAGAGCCTGTTCTGCTAAGGCAGGGGTGTCTATCTATCTATAATTTTTATTTTTATTTTTTATTTTAATTTCTCGTGATCTACTGGAGCTCCCATTACGATCATATTGGCCACTGCTCTACTGAGATGTGTTAAAAATTAAAAACATCAAGGTAAAACTAATCTCCATGCAGCCAGGTAGCCCCACTAAGAAAACACTTAAAATCCAAAATACTGGATTACTATTACAGTAATTACGGTAATGTCTAGCATTTGAAAGAAGAAAGACTAAAGTATTTAATATACATTGTATACGTATTTAAACCCTATGTTTTCTTGAGCAGACAAATAGACGTCACCAGGAGACCTGTGGTTGGATCGGAGTTGAAAATGAGTTCCTGACCACAGGAAAAGCCTTTTCCCCAAACAAGAAAGTCACGCTTTGATGTAACAACGTACACAGAGTCTGACTACATCCATCTAGTGTAATGTGAGCTCCGCTGTTTGCTTATGGGCTCATTCCGCCAGACCTGCTATAATTATTGCATACCGCGTCCTCAGTAAGACAAACATGAGACGCTCACATACACCAGCATGTCTCACTGCCTCCCCCTCCCTCCCCCTCCGCTTGCACAACAGGGGACTGCTGAATGTCTGTGATAGAGTAACACTGCAGTAACCGTGTGTACAGTTCTACTTCCCATGTGTTTATGGAACTGTAAATCTGCTGCTGAACTGCTGATTCTTTCTCCATTGACTTCTAATCACATGGAATCATTCAGATCACCAATGTTTTTCTTGAGGCTCAACCTCAGGTTCAGGCAGCATTAATGACTTCTCCATTTCACACAGAGTGCTGACTCATCAACAATCATAAGCAGTCACACGAGGGCTACAATGGTCAGGCTGTGAATGGACACATTAAAATGACACAAAGAACAGGACAAAAGTAATGCTCTAGAACAAACCTGCAACACTACACTGTATACTTAGGGGTCGGGATTTAAAGGTGCAGTGTAAAAATTAGTAAATGTGTCATATACCAATTATCATTATTATTATTACCTCAGAATGGCCTAGAGTGATGTTTTATACTGTATTCCATGTGAGTGTCTTTACAACAGCAGACAAACTTTAGACCCGGAAGTTAAAGTGACAAAATATGCTTTTATCCTCCCTTGTCACACCTTTCTTCTCAAACTTAAAATCAAATCAAAGCGATCAACAGGTCAACAGGTTTAAACAAGGTTTAAATAAAGTTCCTTCAGTAGGACAATTTGACCAAAGATTTTCATCAAATGCTCCGACTCTGTTTTAACTGGAGTAAAACCTGTAATGTCTGTGACAGCTGAGGCAGGACCAGCAGGAGTGACTGTTCTGCAGAAGTCATCAGTTTCAGACTCACTTCATAACGTCGGAGCAGGCTTGGTTGCCTCACTTACCACATTTGATCAACATGTTTTGCTGAATCAAAGTATTTCACCAGAATATGAAAATATATATATAATGCTGCCGATGCTGTGGTCACCTCAGATACCTTATCAAAGTTTCTGGTTCTTTCTGTTCTTGGTAAATTCACACACAGACGTACACAGAGCTGAGGCTGAGATACTGACCGGTTCATTCTCAAAGTAACTGTCCCAGTGACGCTGCTTGGTTGTCTTTGTCTTCTGGAAATGTTAAGACATAGTTGACAGAAGGGAGGGAGGGAGGGGGGGAGGCAGGGAGAAGGTTAGACAGCAGCAGCATCAGCAGCATTAGCATCATTCACAGGTCAAACATACGACACAGATTTAAGTTAAAACATGCAATGGTTGAATTTGACACTTTCATTGATGACACATGAATCCACATGGACAGACACGGGTATATTACACACAGAGGATTGCAAACATTAGCAGATCGGAGACACGTGCACATATGTACAGGCTAACTAAATGCTATGCTACATAATTAGTACAGTATTAAACTGAAATCCTGTGGTTAGCTGAAACAACATGCATTATTGTACCGTAGACTCATTGTTAGCACAGAGGTGCAAATTCATTGTTGGTTCTTATAGCAACTGCTGAATGAGTTGTTGAAGAATGACAGCACGTAAACACAGAAAGCAGTGGAGAAGAGGTTACTTGTCTGTATTGGGAACAAGCCACGATGACACCAGGGAAGAAGAAGAAGACATCAAATGTGCAGAAATATGTGATTGCATTTTTGGGTGAACGTATAATTGCATTTCTCCAAATTAAATTAAATTTAGGAATGAGAGAAAGCCCCTTCCAGCTCCACTTAGAGATGAAGGTTGTACGGAAGGTCAGTAGGTCACTGGCTGTTAAAGCCCAGAGTAGGATAAAAAAAAGAAATGATAAATTAAATGCGTCTGTTTGTTTCTTTCTGGTTTTTATTGTGTGTTTTCAGTAGTGGTGTGGTGTAAGGAAGCTCAGAGTACTGAAGTAGAATGTGTTCAGATCACTTGTCATTAACTGTCTGTCTGGTTTGTCTACACTGACACACAGACAACATTCAACACGCCCACACACACACACCACCGATTACAGCTATCCTCACAAAGAACGGCACAAAACACACCTCAACGAAACTCACACCATTTATACACAGGTGAAAAGGTATTTTATTCTTTTCCCTGGTGCTGAAAACCTCACCTGACTGAGGTAATGATATTCTTCTGGCTTCATCAGGTGGAAGGCCGTCCTCTCCTCTTCACTCGCTCCTGCCAGCAGGTAGTAAAACACATGGTAGTTTCTAAGGAAAGAAAGAGCAGCAGAAACAAACATGAGGACAAGCTCAACAACTGTGTCCACTGACACTTTACCACAGGTCTGTATTGACAAACGTATAAACTTTACTTCTTTTTTTACTCTTGAATTTTGAATTCTGATTTAGTTAATAATATTTTGCATATTTCCTGTGTCAACTTTATCAATGACCTGGGGACCACATTAGAACAAGGGCAGGTGACAATACATTACATTCCTCTGTGTCTACTTTACCTGACGACAACTGTGTGTCAAAGAAAACATTTCTTTTATAGATGGTGATGAAATCAGGACACACCTTTTTTGGTGCAGACTAATAGATAGGTCATTGAGTTTAATTTCCTCAGCGGTGCGTTAGGAAATGTTATATTACTTTATCATAGAAATCATGTTGCAGGCAGGGTCTCGGCAAAGACACACACACACACACATATATATATAGATAGATAGATAGATACATTTAAAACTGCATTGTAACTATACACCTAATTTTAAAAAAAATCCTTTATTTGCTGTCAGTACATGTCATTCATCAACAGTTCAGTGTAGCACATACAGGGACAGACACTGTAGGATTGTATTAAAAAAACCTGACAGTTAAGAAGAAGTGCGTTTGCTTGGCCTTCATCACTGTCAGAAGAAAGGTTAGAAGTCAAACTGTTCAGCAGCTGTGGGACTCTCATGAAACACACACACACACACACACTGTTGTGAACCTGGACTCAGCCATTCATCTCCATGAGACCTGTCCACCACAGGGGGGTTAACCTCCTCCACTACAACCACTCTGTCCAGCACATCAGTGTCAGCCTTACTTAGAGGTCACACTTTACTAACGTCAAAGACACTCACTCACTCACTCACAACTCTTTCCTCAAACCTCATTTTTTTAACATTGGCATTCTAAGAAGAAGGACATTTAAACATGAATTTAAAGAACTGGTCATCATCATATGTAAATCTGTGTGTTTGTACAGTATCAAACCTCACTTACTGGAGAATGTCAAAACAAGAACAAACTGTCAGCATTTCCACTGATGCTGGATATAGTATGACAACACATCAGTACTTTGGTTTTTACATGTATAATTATGATTAGATCAGGTGGCCTGTAGAGCTGCTTTACTCACCGCTCGTTGTTCTCTTGATAGACCAGCCTCGACTTTTCCAGAAGGTATTTCTCCACATACGCTCTGAAAAAAGTAGACAATAAAAACTATTAACAACAAATGTTCATATTTTGTTTTGTTATAAGCAATTCTCGGGTGGTGTGGTCTTACCCTCTGACCACACCGCTTTCCTGGTAGTTGACTTGAATGAACTTGCCAAAGCGACTGGAGTTGTTGTTGTGGGCAGTCTTGGCATTTCCAAAAGCCTGAAAAATAGCAGAGGAAGATCGGGCTATAAAAAAACAATAGTATGACATTGTTTTATAATAATAAAAAATGTATTTTTTTGAAGTTTGTTGCCCTTTGCCATCAGGAAGGGCATGTTAGAGGGCCAGGAGAGGAAATGGGACTGGACCTTGGCGTCAGATATTTGAGGTTGAGTTCGAGGTTGTTGTTAGGTGATGATTATTTGTTTGTGGATCAACCACAAAATGTATTTGGCCTGATGTCAACTACTGTCGTCAAAGAGCTTGTAATCTGAAATAATGCAAAGCTACCATTTCGTATTTGATGAATTAAAACAGTGATGTGACAGTTAATGACATGGTTCCAACTGAATTAACATTTGGACAAATTGTCACAGTGATGACCAGTGCGGGGCCTGGGTCTGCAGGCACAGTGGGGAAAAAAATCCTTGGAGACTAATGGGATCCGTGTGGAATAAAAGAGTGCAGTATCTCCTCTTACAGATCTGTTTGTGTCGCACGTCTGCCTGAAGGGGAAGTCTTTTTTTTTTTTTGTTGCCATATTTAAACCCTGCAGTTATTTGTAGTAGCGCCACAAGTAAACAAATTCCTCAGTGAATCACTTACAGCATCCCAAGCCTCGTGTTTGTGGAATGGGAAAACACCCCTACTTCACCCCACCCTTCACCAAAGCCGCGTTCCAAGATGCAAGCACGCTGTGAGTGGGCTAACGTCAAGACCATAGGCATGTAACCATCATGTAAGAGTTAGGAGGGAGAACTATGAGCAGCATGTTGGCAGTGTTTGGCTGAAACATGAAACGCCCAGCGCCATAAAGTTAGCAAACGATTTTAGCCAGAAGCACACATCATTATGTTGAACGCATGTGGGGTATCACACTGCACGAGTTAAAAACAAATGTGTTTTTAATGGAGCCCTACAGGGGAATCAGTACTGTCCCGAGTACAAACCAAGTGCAATGAAGTGAAAGTCTGAACCAGTGCCGTGTGCTGTAAATCTACATGCAACGACCATCATACCATTAAAGTGATTGTTGGAATCAGGGCTTAGGAAAACAGAGGACACTTTGGCTGCTACTACAGGCAGACATTGGCTCCAACAACTGAATCACAGCACTGGACTCGCCCTTCATTTATGACTCACTCAGCTGAGCAAATCATTTGAACGGGCAGATGCTGTGGAAATCTTTCAACTCTACTGTCTGGACAAAAACTGGAGCCAGGCAAGGTCAGAGTGAGGAATGGTGGTGCTATCATTTCACATTCAGAAATTAGAGGCAACAATACACCCACAGGAGCTGGTACTCTACTCCGCAGTAGTCTGTGCACTGGCTAACCTGCGTGGTCAGGAAGCACAGGTCAGACGAGGACAGTGGAACATCATTCAGTTTCCTTATGTAGAAAGAACTTGCAGAATTGAAAGTAAGTTTTTAAAAAAAAAACAGTTCTGCTCTAATTACAGTTCTCAGACAGGGTGAAGAGCTCGGTGCAGAGATCAGAGATTTTCAGGGTTTTTCTTTTTTGTAAAACGGTCTTGGCCTTAGACAGTAGATGATGAGCCAGCAGGAAACAGGATGTGGAAACAACTGAAAACCTGAGAGCTGATTTATACTGTAGCCAGAGTGTATTTGTCCACCTGGTCTATGAAAAACAACAAGCATATTTTTAAAAAGACATTTTTACAACACCAAGTTTGTATTCTTTCCAGACTTGGCACAATCCATATCAATGGGAATAAAAGACATGCCTCACATTATGCCTTTTTAATGGACCTCCTACTGTATGACAGGGATGGAGTTTCACTCAGTCATATAAGATACCGTACAGTGCATCAGCCTGCAGCCAGAGCAGCTGTGGTTTCAGACCATAACAACACTAATTAATGTCTGTGTGTTGTGATCGGGTCAAATCAACAGTCAAATGATCAGTAAAGCTGAAAGATAAAACAGTAAGGTACGAATCACAGGAACATATTTTTCTCCTGGTGATTCCATCTGAATCACCAAGTCAAACCATCAATTATTGGTTCAAATGCTGGTTAAATATAAATTGTCTGAGACTGGAAAAGCACTTCAGGATGGACACCAAGAATCAAAGAGACACCAGAGTTGTTTGGACAGACATGACTTCAACCACTTCACTGACTCCTGTAGGTCATCGTTGTTATTCCTGGCTACAGACCGCAGTTTGAAGTGAGTCAAAGGCTGAGCGACTACGACACAGTTGAGATGGTGCCAGTGTGTTCTTGGTGTAGTGTGTCTGAATGAAGGCTCCGCCAAAGTCAGACAAGAAGAGGCAAAGTTTCAAAGCAGGCCACGAGTCCGGAGGTTTCTCTTTCTTTTTTAATGAGGTCTTCTGCCATTCGACATGCTCTTTAATAGGACTGTAAACTGACACCATACAGTCATACAGTAAAACAGCCTGAAATTTTAAAATCATCACCATATTAAACACGTTTACTTTTTAAGTATTTGGTGCTGTGTTCAGGCAGCAGCATGTTAACTGTTGACTGTTAAAAACAAGCCAAGAAAGTGAAATAACAATAATAAGTAGAACATGAAAACTCCATACAGGGAGTCCAATAGTCTAACTGATAACCATGCTGTAAGAGCGATGGAACAGCATTCAACATGTGGCTCCATGGACTCGAGGACAAGTGAAGTAAGGGCAGGGGAGGAGAGGAGAGGAAAGAATGGGAGAGGATGGGGGAGGAGAGGCAGAGGAAACAGTGACGCTCCCATGGGTGAGGGATGATGCTACACTCTCTGAGATAGAGTTGAGACAAAAGCCTGCTTGACTGCACTCACAGAGGGATGATCTCTGAGTGAGCCGTCAGGGCTACAAATGAATTTCAATGCTGCTCTGTGTTTAAGGCTCATGTGACAGTGTGGTCCTAATAACCACACAGAGAAAAGCTTTGTCCTGACTTCAAAGTTACTAAAGTGAAATGCCCATAAGATAAAACCAGCATTCTTCTGACTCACTGACCAGAAATTGATTTAGGGAAAATGTCACCAAATTTTTGACATTCCTGCACCAACAGTAACTGGAGGGAGACAATTACTCGGACAAATTGTTCCGTGTGATTCCCCAGCTTCAAAGAGTCACTGCTCATTTAACCTCTGTGGACTCATATCCTCTCCTGAGACTTTCACTGGGTCAACTCATCAACCACATCATCTACTCAGGAAGTCAACAATGAGGCCAGTGAAGGAGCAAGTGACCAACAAGGAGATGTGCCAGGATTATGTCATAGCATGTGTGTGTGTGTGTGTGTGTGTGTGTGTGGGTGGCGGAGCAGAGGCCGCTCTCCAGAGGCTAACTCATAACCATGACCCTTGTAATCTCTCACCTAAGGTCAGAGCTGACACACTGTGGACTGTGGTCACTGGCTGTGGTTGTTTAACCATGGCGGAGGGTGGGGGGTCTGCACTCATGCTTCCCAATTCAGTGAAAACACAGTGGGATGTGGGTTCAGGCAGTGGTTACTAACAGTGCTCTAAAATGTCACTGACGCAGGATGTGTAAAGATTTTGTAGCTTAAGACACAGAGGAAGTGTTTTCACTGAAGCGTAGAAAAGCATAAATGAACGCTTTAGAACAAGTTAATTGTTCATGGTTTTATGGGGAGCCAGGGGAAATGTGACAGGAACCAAGTTAATGGGTCGATCAATTTTCCCATGAAAATAAATCAACTTATTGTTTGGTTCAATCAAAACTAGGCCGACAGAAAACACTGTCTGAACATTCTATTCTAGCAACACAAAACAAAAACACTGCTGTCATGAACAGACGGAAACGTTTGATGAAATCCATGATTGCATGTTTTTAACAAATGCATCCGTGTGTGTGTGTGTATCAGAATCAGCAAGTTACACTGAATGAAAGGTCCAAAAATCAGTTCATCGCTTCTATTTTTTCCCCAACTGTTCAGTCAATTGATACACAGATAGATAGTTAGATCGTCCGGAGGATGGTATTTTTTGTCCTGTTTTAATAAGAAAAAATAAAAAACATTATTTAATGCATCAAGATTTTATTCATGAGACTGTAGGACTGGGGCCAAAACCACTTAGATTTGAACTCATACCTGAAAAACCTAAGGCTCCGTTGGGCGGAACCATCAACAGTTTGACATACTGTAAGCCAATATTCAATATGACACATGGCCAAATACTTTGATTTAATTTAGGTATCAGGTAACAGTGATGTGGCAACGACATGAACGACAGTTTTGTGTGATGGTTGACAGAACTTGTCTGACATCCAATGAAAAATAGTTTCTGTTCAACTGGCTTTTTAGGAACAACAAACAAAGAAACGTTCATTAATTTTATTTGTGTGTGTGTGTGTACAGTGCTATATACTGTACATAAACATTAATAATATTTCTGCCTCAACTAATTGATTATATTTCAGCATTATTAGGGTTAGGGTTAAAACAAAACAGACTTGTAATGTGTAGAGTAGTCAGAAACACATCTGAATGTAGTTCACATCATCTGCTAAAAGTAAAATAGACTCTAAATGTCTCTCTGTTTATTCTACAACGTGAGCCTGGTCAGTGTTATTCGATCATAATGTGCTCAATCAACTTTAAAAAAATAACTGGTACAATGTGTCTGTTTAAAGACTGACTCAATCTAGTATTACTGCATTCTTTTCATTTTATACCTTTTCAACATTAAGTGACTCACAGTGTTATCAGTGAACCTCACTGTCAAAGTGAAAGTGTTGATGACATGGTTGTAAATGCCACAGCCCACTGTCATCACTTTAATAACACGGTACCAAAAGAAAGAAAGGATTTTTATATCTAACTGTGTCACTACTGCCTTCCACTCTGGTTTCTACTCTGACACACCCGGACATTAGGATGTACACACACCTTAAGGTGTCCACAAATTAAAATGAGATGAGACTTCTTTGCCAACACCCTGCAAGTCTCTTAACTGTGCAGAAGGGTGTCGAGGGTTATTTTTAACTGTCTTTATTTTTAAA